AAAGCTGTTGATAATTTATAGTATTTCACTCGTTATTTTATGTATTAATTTCTCGACATGTTATTCTAAAATATATTTTAGTTTTGCGTACTCAAAATAAGGAAACATCGTTGGTGGTCTGTCACAATGACCGATTTGGCGTAAATGAAGATCGAAAAAACTTCATGGGTGGTATATTAAAGAGTATCAATCCAGCAATTCATTTGAAATGTATATATTTTTTTGATAATGGCTTTAAAGTTTATAAATACAGCTTTTAAGGTGATATACTTTATTTTAATGAGTCATTAGGAAAATTTTTTTAATGAACAAGAATATATCAAATGTGAAAATAGATGTAGTTCGGATTTAAATAGATTTGTACGAGTTATTTAGTATCCTAATACTTTAATTTTGTATTTTACGTGTTTCAAAGAAATATTGAAGTTCCATCATATCACATAAAGCTTCAAAACACATTTTTAATAGATTCATTATAGCACATATATGAGGAACAAAATTACTGTTCCATTTTCGAATTAACTTAATAATACTTTTCATTTCTTGTGTATTTGGATTCTTTAATGGCTGATTTTTGAAGTTAAACCATGTAAGAAAATATTTTGCATAATACAGTCATACTTTTTTTACTCTTGAAATAATAATAAGCAAATAATCAGCATGAAAGTTGTTCTGTTGTACATCACAGACTTTATTCAACAAGTAAATTAGATTTTAGTCTGATAAAATATCTGATGACATTGACGTCATTTAATAATTTTGTTGAAATTAAAATATATTCATGACTAAAATTAAAATTAATCCTCTCTCATTTAGTATTTGACGAGGACTAGCTATAGTACTATTATAGTAATACTATTTTACTTAGTATATATTTAGTACATATGCAAAAAAATAGTCTGAGTGAATACAGTTTTCAGATAAAGTAACGATCAAAAAAAGATCAATTATTTCTCTACAATATTTTTTGAATAATTAATTAATTATTCATTACAACAAAATGAAGGCTACATAGTATAGTACTAAAAGTAATCATCTTAAGCATTTCTTTATAGAAATCATTTAACAAAAAGAAAGCATAAAGGGTAGATTCTATTTTCCTGAAATTTTTAAGTGATGCATTTAATAAATTTTTTTCAAAAATGTGTTAGTAGTTCAATTCAGCTTCATGAATTGTAAAATTATATCAGTAAAACTTATGCCTAGAAAATGTACAGTTCAAGCGTCAACTTGAAACTATCGCAATTGACTTTCAATTTTATTAAAATAAACGTATAAAAATCTAAATAGTAAGTTAAGCTATAATATTATCAAGACAACTGTTTAGCAGTTTCTGCTGCGGCAGTAAGGCTACCTATTATGAGTATTCATTAATTTAAACTGCTTCTGACTACTTGAAAACTTTATCAAACTATTATTATAACGAGTATTCTTTTTTGGAATTAATTTCTAAGCTAAAAATATTACAACTTGAAATCACTGTAGTTGAAACTTTCAATTTTAGTTAAAATAAACTTAAATATCAGAAGTACAAAGTATATTTATCAGTTTTTTTCTACAAAAAATATCATAGAAAGTGAGTTGGATATGGTCACGAATAATGCATAAAGTCTGGAAATATTTACGATAACGACCGTGCTTTCATGTCCAAAGCTAAAGGCAGAAGTTCACTTACGTCCTTAATCTAAAATATATATTCAATTAATCAAACAATTAATCAATTAAAAAAAAACTAAGATTATATTTTGATGAAAATTTTTAATAGTATAAAACATAATCAGGAAATTTTTAAAATCATCCAAAAAGTTGTATAATCGTGAAATTTCGAATAGACTTTAGTATAGCAGAAAGTAAGAAAAGGAGTTTTAATAACTAAACCATTTCAAACTTTTAATTATTAAAAATGCTAACAATGTAATCAGCTTGTGGCCGCAATTCATCACTGCCGCATACTCCTGAAAGTACGCCAACAGTGGCACCAAGGTTGGCTGAACGTCCCATTCCCAAGTCAGCTAAGGTATCTCCAACCACCAAGGTATCTTGAAAAAAAGAAAACCATATACTTTAAAGCTAAGAATAAATGATTTGGGACTATTAATCTCAAAGAAAAGCAGTAGTTTGACTTTCTTCTTTAGTCTTTCTTAACACAATCAATTATAACTGAGACATTTGATATGATTTTTTAGTTTTACGTCAGTTTTTCCTGAAGCAAATACGACACAAAAAAGTGTATTAAAGCAAAGTTCTTTGCTATTGTTTAATTCTGATATAACTTATCTTTGGATCAACATCTAAGGTCTGGCATATTGATAATGCATTATGAGGATGTGGTTTTGGCACGGCACCAGCATCGTCGCCACATACAACCATCTCGACATAATTTTCAATTTCTAATTTTCGCAATGCATTCAAAGTTTCTTTTCTGAAGTTTTTTCATCTTCACAACTCAAGCATAGTGTAATTTGAAATAAGTATTATGGATAAGAATCTGTTTGTTATCAGTTTAGCATTATTTACTGATATGAGCAGTTGCAAACTTGGAAAGCTACTATTATTTGCATTAAAATTTTGCTGAATGATAATATGAATATTTTTCAAACATTGTATTAATCATAATTTTATCCAAGGACATCTTGAATTGAAGCCATTTAAACTGTTAATTTTTGTTTTAATTCTAAATTTCCAGCAGTTACAGTAAGGGAAAAGAATCAGTAAGGTTTGAATAATGTGACCTGAAAGTTTATTCATTTAATTTTATTGCCTTTTTAAAAGGCTTTATTTGTGGTGCAAAAAATAAAAAGTAATTCACTTTCTCAGCAAAAGTCTTTAGTGGATTAATGAGATTGATCGTAACCAGTAGTAATTCGGTATTGAAACATAATTCTTGGCAGATTTTATATTATTTTGTGCTTTAAGGCTGTTTACAAACTCTACAAGAATTTACCGACTATCTGAAGTACAAATAGCAATCTTTATTCCATTGTCTCGTAGTTGTCCAAATAACAAACGTAAATCACAAACTTCTTTTGTAGTATGAACGTTTGCTTTGCTAGATTCCTGAATAGCTGTTTTGACGCACTATAAAAATAAAAGTTTACTTAATTTCCTTTATACAAATTTTATCATTTATTGCAGTTATGTTTACGTTTAATCGCTTAATGACATAACTAATTTTCTTATTTACTGGTTATACATTTAGCACATTCTGAATGTTAGAATAATTAAACAGTTAGAAAATAATGAGATTTTTGTAAACAGAACACAAAGCTTATATTTATTTGAAGCCACTTTTTGCTCATAATAAACCGATTATTTTTATGGATTTGTAAAACAAAAAGAAGAAAGAAAACCTTAAAAGCACGTTCTGAATCAATTCCATGTTTAATCAGTAAGCGGGTTATGGCATCAGAGATTTTTGCTATCGTAGACATAGCAAGAAGACCGGATCTGACTATCTTATTTTCGATTTCAAGTCCGAGTACTAAGTAAATTTCATTTTCAACACTCATTTCTATCATTTCGCTAATCCTGCAAGTTTTTAGAACATTTCTATCTTCTTTTTAGAATAATTACCGATCCTTTTCAATTTAAAAAAAAGTAATACTTTTTGGCAACGTTTTCTGCCCATGGGACCCACATACTGTGGAAACAAATCAAAGTGCCATCTTTATCAAAAATTATAAGCAGTGCTTTTTTCTGAAGTGTAAATTGAGCTTTAATATTATTTCATTCATTTCATGCAATTATTAATATGCTTTTGCAGAGTTAATGCCTTAAAACTTTATATAGTGTTCTGTATTTTCTGCTTAATCATTTCTTTTCAACATGAATATTAATATATATATATAAATATAGCTATTTCCTAATTTCATACTTAATTTAATTGTCAGTTAAGTACGTTTTAATGAAAATCTCAGTCCAAATGAAAGTTGTTACTCTTTTCTTTAGTGTGATTTAAGAAATATTGTCATTTCGGACAGGGAAACAGTGGAATTCAGTCTTGTAAAAAGACGATTTCATTCATCAAATAATTATGCAAATACTTTTAATCCGTTTTTAAAAAGCAAAATATATGAAAGAAAGCAATTCTGAGAAGACATGCATTTTTGTAACGCTGAATAGGCGCAAATACTCGCTCAGGAAGATTCAAAGCTTCTTGGTCATTTAGAAAACAATGGTGGTTGAAAAAATTAAATGGATATAATCGTTCATATTCATCTAAATATTAGTTTCACATAGATATATTATTTTGCTGAATGTCAAGAACAAAAATTTTTAAATTTTCAAAGAGTGCAAAAAAAAAAACTAAAAAATTATCACTGCCCTATAAAAGTTTGATTCAAATCTTAATCAATTTTGAAATATGATAATTCACAATGCTATTTTAAAAAACTGATCGCCTAAATAGTTTCAGAATCATGAATGCTTTCTTTTAGTTAAAAGTTTAATTTAAAATTAGTATATTTTTGTAGACTTATGAAAATTGTCATCAGAATATTTTTTCCTTTAAAACCCAACTGTGTGTAGAACAATAATTTTTTTTGGAAGAATTTAATTTAGTGCTGTTCAATTATTTTTAACTAACTTCAATTAAATTTTGCACAGTTTTGTCAATTTTTTTAGTTTTGTTTGAAAATAATAAATTTCATTAAAAGCATTGTATAAGTAAAATGTGCAAAAATTTTTGCAAAATTTAAAATGCAATATACATATGGTAATCTGAATCCAATATTTGCGCTGCAATCAATTATGAAATTACTGCGTGAAGTAAATGAAAATTACTTACAAATGATACTAAGTAATGCAGAAAAAATACGTATGAGATTACGTATGATTAAATAAGTCATTTGGTTTTGCCCATTCGTTCCTTTTTCACTTGCAACTTTAACAAAACTTCTTAGAAATTCCAAAACTGCATTCAGTTCTATAAATTTGCAAAAATTTTCAATGATTGATTTGTACTTTACATGAATAGTAATCAAAAAAAAAAGAGGTCATTAATGAAGCAGAAAGAGTTCAATTTTTTGAATTATGCCTTAAATGAATTACATAAGTAAAAGATTATTTATTTTGATATACTGAAGAAAGCTGTAAGGAAGATACTCAATCAGTCAAATTCTGCTCATCCATACATACTAGTAAAGCAAAAAGGAAAAGAGAAAAATGCAATAGAAATGATAAAATTAAGTTTTCAAATATTAATGCAATTACTGCTATCAATTTAATAAATAGTAAATATTTGAGAACTTAAAGATGAAATGTTGCACAATTTTCTAGCCTGAATTGGCTACTGAAATTAAAAGACTAGTTTGTTATTTGTGGAATAATCCTGGATATGCTACATACTTAAGCATGAAAGTTGAAAGGTATAGCAAATCTGTTTGTTGATAATAAAATAATTCATTTACAGTTTTACTAAATATGAATTTATTGAATGGTTAACTTTTGTCAGTTTAGATTTAAGTTTTTAATTTTGCAAAAGATTATCAATAAATATAGTGCAGTATTTTTTTTTGAAATATATTTTTAGCAACTTTTGTTCCACATTTCATTGTGTAATTTTCTTATCCTACAATATTTCATGTTATACTTCAAATTTTATTGCTTCCAACATATTTGTAAAAAACAATATGAATGCTTTCATATACAGCGTGTGATATATGTATGTATTGTTTAATGTAAACTTTGTTAATTATGAATAGAAATAAGGAAAGCTATTAAAGAATAAATAAGACGCGCACAAATCCATGCGTATTGAATATGATCTATTGGAAAACAAAAATATTAACAATATGTTAACACTTATCCAAACACAAGCAAGCTACTAAAATTCAATTAGCGATCAAATAAAATAGTGAGATAAAAAATTGTGCAAATAAAAAATATGGTTAAAAAATGGATAATATTTTAATAGTTTTAAATTTATCTCATTTATTAATAAAAATTACAAAGATATAAGCAATAAAACGATCTCTTTACTGTTCTATCGAGTGAATTATAAAGCAAAAATTTTATTCTATACACTCTTTATATCAATCTAAAGTATTGCTTTGTTGTAGGTAAAAATTTTACCTTTATTATTAAATGAACAACTGATACTGTTATGACTGAAAAAAAGCAAAAAAGATCCATCTTTTTAAAGAGTATTTGTTAATATTACACTGATTTTAATCGCCAAAAAGTTATCTTTTATAAGCAGTTCAGTTAAATTTCTTAAGAATATGCAAATTTTTTTTCAAACTATAAATGAAATGTTGAAAAAAATTATTTATCTTATCAATGCAAAACAACTAACACTCCAAAGTTCTTTCACACTAGTAAAAAATACATTGTAATTTGTAATACTTAGTTACATACTTACATACTATTTTTTATATCCATACAAAATTTGATTTAAAAAATTGAGTTTTTAATTATGTAAATATTTTCTAATTGTCAGTTATTATCATTTATTTGTTTCGAGCAAAAACCAGCTAATCAATTTATAAATTAATGCACTAAAAACTAGTTCTAATTAAATTTTGCAAAAGTAAAAATATTTTTTAAGATGAAAACACTTTAATCTGAAATGCATAAAAAATTACAGCTTATAACAAAATTATAGTATGAACGATAGGTATAATGTATCTCAAACATTTTTTCTAGTAATTATGAACCATGTTAAGCGGTTTTTTATGTTGCTATGAAATAAATTTAAAAAAAAAATGAATTAATTTGCTTCCAACAGTTCCAAGTGCAAATTAGAGTGCTATGCTGAATTCTAGTCAAAATTTAAAAGTTTGGTGCTTAGCAGTTTTAAGTCACTAAAATGATCATTTTTAATCAATAAATTCAGGAAAACCAGAACCTTTGCAAATCAATCGTATGATTAACACGCTAACAGAGATTTTTATGAAAGACTGAATTTTGTTTTAATATTCTGTTAGTGGTGCATGAAGAATAACTTCGGAAAGTTTTTTGATTAGTTGAGTTAATTAATATAATTGATTTTAATTTAATCAAACTAAAGAATAATTACGTCTAAAAATTTTGATAATCAACAAACAGTAATATTATTATTTTTTGCAGTAAATGCAGATAAAATTAAGATCGCTTGAATACTTATCAAAAAAGTAAAATGCACAACACTCCACAGAAGATATATTTGTTAACTGGCCTTTTCCAACTTTAATAATCCATTCAACCCCTCCTTTACTTTTTATTTTTTTAAATTAGGTTGAGGCACTCCCTTGACCTTTTTTCTTTTGTCAAATAATCAAGGGTTATTTATCTACTCATAAATACTTAAGTACTTAAATATCAAGGAATAATGCACGTGGGGTCAAAAATGTAAAACTGTGATAATACATTATTATCCTTTCAGTACAGCAGTGTCAAATTAGTAAGTAATGGATCGTCTTATTTTGGGTCATGTAATATTTTTGTTTTTTCACAAAGGAATCAGTGATAATATTTTTGTCAATTAGTTTCCAAAGTTGTTTCTGTTTGTAGAAAAATTGCAGTTTAACCTGAGTTAATAAATATTTGCTGTACAGTATAAATTATTTTTATCCAATAATCTGAACTAGTGATGAAGTAAGTTCATCTTTGATATCTTAAATTGATAAGAATAATGCACTAATGTTCTTAATAGCTAATTTTTCACAAAAATGCTTGATTGATCATTGCTTAACTTTTTATTTTTTATAAATTTATTGCAAATGATAGTGAGCTGCTTTTATGTAACTTAGCAGAATACTATAAAAAGCATTATCATAATAGAGTTTTTGGTTTCAGACGTGTATAGTTACAAAAATGAGTAATATAAAAGGAAGGAAATATTTTGCTTAAAATTGTTCACATAGTTAATCATTAATCATTATTTAAACTGCACGCTTGATTAATTAATCTAAAAAAAATCATCATACTGCTTGTTATTGTTTACAATATGGATTACAATTTTCGGAAATTCACTGTAGATGAATGAATGCCCTGAAAAATAGGGAAGTTTTGTTTGGTTCGAGACTGAATTTAATGCCTCTCAAAAATTGAGGTTGCCAAAGGTCTACCAATACTACAACTGACCTGATTCAATTCAATTGTACGACATTGAGCACCTACAATATATTGCTCTCTTCCTTAACGTCATCCTCACTAGCCAGTATATCCATGAAATTTGACTCATATTTTGAGTCCAAGTTTGATTATTCACTTTTTATCGAATTAATTCTCGGAATACTTTATGATTTCTGTTTTACTTTTGTTGTATTCATCTCTCATTGCCTCAATAAGTGAGTTTTGCATCTTTTTTTTTCTACACATTTTAGAACAGTTTCTATCAATAAAGTCAATTAGAGATAAATTGCAAAGCATTTTTAATAATTTTTTCTAATTTTCATACTTCTATAGTTTTATTAAGCATATGAAATCACTCTTAAATAGTTATTATGTATTCTATACTCTAAAAATTTTGAAATATTGCTTTCAGTTTTTTTAATCATAAAATAAATTTTGCTGTCTAAAATTAAAAAAATTTGACATTATTACAAAAAAAAATAGAAAAATTTTTCATGAGATATCAATTCATTCATTGCTTTTTTACAAGACCTACACTATGGTGCATCAGGAAGTAATTTGAAGCATGCTTCGATCGTACCTTGGTCACAATATTTGGCAAGTAGAAACAATATCAGTAATCAGATGGTATCAAGAGAAATGTCTTCTAAACGTCAATTACTTTTACTACCTTTAAAAAGCGTTAAAGAAAATATGGCCAATAGTGATACCATTGATGCGGAATCAATCCCAGTTTTGATATCATTACCACCCAATCCTTATTTTCATCAACAACACTTACATCGAAGCAATTCATTATCACAGAATTCTGACAATGAAAGCATGGAGAGAATAAGTCGAATGCAACGACTGCAGCAAATACAATCTTCCTCTTCACGTGCTGCACCGCAAATCATGCCAACGACTCCTAACTCTGAAAATCAACATACACAGTTCGGGCAATTTTATTTCAACATGCACTGTTTTTAGCAAAAATTTCTTTTTTTGTTTGATTTGATTAACATTTTTAAACTGGAAATTGAGAATTTCTTAGATTAATTATTAGTTTGTTAAAATTGAATTTTATTAAACGCTGAAATTTATTTGCGATATTTTCAAATTTGCGCATAAAAAGTGATTGTAACTATTTAATATTTTTCAATTATTCTTTCCAAAAATTTCAATACAAACTTTGATTGCTAGTAATTCCAGTTTTTAACTTGTTAGATGATACCAAAATTGAAATAATAATAAAAAATAGGTCAAATGTATTAGCTGCATAGGAACTGAACATATTATTCAGCAGATATTTCCGAGCTCGTCCACGAATGCGAACAGTATCTGATTTACATGGGACACGATTGCATGCAAGAAACAAGTTCGAGCAATTAAGGCCTGTTGCTAGTTCGGCTGTTAGGTCTGAATGTAAATAATTTTACTAACAAATGTATAACAATGACTCATTCACTGTAAAAACAATTATGTCAAAAAAATTAGAATCTAAAAAAAATATAAAAATTCGTTCAAAAAATTCAAATCATCTAATTTTATAATTTGATAGCAATAAAATTAGCAAAATATTTTCTAAGTTATTAAGTATTAATTATTCTATTTTTAAGACCAAACTATGCACTTGCTTTATCATCTTCAACTCTCAATAATGATATTGTAAATGGAGTACCTGTTCAATCGGAGCCTAAACTTCCGTTATATTCATCTCCAACTACGAATGTAAATCCTCTATACAATAATGATTTGGTCTCATTTTTATCTTCTGGAACTACAATGGAGAATCTTGCAAAATTGGCTCGAAATTTGCTGACTTTATCTATTCAAAATCGAGTAATTTTTATCACACATAAGAGTAGCAAAAATAACCTTTAAACTAAAATGTGATAATTTTTGTATATTAAAAAAAATTAAGTTGAAAAAATTTTTAGTACTTTCAACTGCTATATTGTAAAAACTGTTTATAAAGAGAATATAATTTTTTTAAATGCAATTAAGCCTGGAGAAATTTTGTCATCATTGGCATCTGCAGTAAGTGGTTCAGAATCATTTGTTGCATCAAGTGTTGCACCTATAGAAGCAAATAGGACATCTGGAATTCTCAATATTCAAAAAGTTTTTGCAGAGTTAGGTAAGAATGAGTTCTGTGTACAACTGAACTATTAAAACAAATTGATCTATCATTTTAAAGCAATAAATCAAAATCTCATCCCATCTCATCATTGGCGTTATTTTAAAAAATTTTTTGATACTCTTTTGTATTTACTACAGCAAAGAAAGAATTGCCATTGCCAATCAAAGATGTTACAAATACGTTACAAGAGAATGAAACTGAAATTTTTTTAAAAACGCTGCCTGATGAGCAACGGTCGCTATTACGAGCGGCAATCGCAACTGGAGAAGTTGACGAACATACTTTGAAGTCTGCTATTGGGTAGATTTTATTGCAAGAATATTATATATTAAAGTTAAACTAAAATTATAACTTTTTGTGCAGAATTATACTTGATAAGTCTATATTACATTTCAAAAATAGAAATAAAAATTTGAATTTTTTTTAGTAAAATTACTTCAATAAAACTCTAGTGATAGCATTTACAAATGTCAGTGATGGAAAAGTGGGTGTAAAACAAAAAGAAGGAAAACTTCTGGAATGGATACAACAAAATCGAAAGAAAGTTGCTGATGATATGTTTGATTTTGCTAATAAACTACCATATTATGGAAAATATTGTGGTAGTTTTGCTGGTGAAGTAAGTAACTTGTAGAGATTATGAATGAAATTAATTTCTATTGACATCAGTAAAGAACATTTTAAAGCGAAAAAGTACTGCTCGATTTAAATTCATAAAAATACATAAATTAAATTTTAGACTGCTAAAAATAATCGTTTTAATGCAGCAGGCGCACTTTGGGCAGTCGATAATCAACGTTTCATTGTTTCTAAATTTCAATTTAATCCTGGAACTTTATCAACTGGTGCATAATAATTTTACTTTTTTTTTTACCTTTGTATAAGTTTTATAAGGATTAATTGCTTTATTTACAATCATTAAAAAATAATTTAAATTTTATCAAATTTTAGAAAATGTTACTTTTTGGGTTGGTCCATCTGTACGAACAAACAATAGTATAGTTAATATGACTCCAAATGCTAATGGTTTCTATTTGAAACCTCAGCCTATTAACTTGACTGTTTTTTACAAACCTAATATTAAGGTATGTTAATTTGTTGATTTTTTTTTTCTTAGGAATTTTTATTAAAATATTGTATATGCATACACTCAAATAAAGCAATTAGAGTTTGTAGAAATTAAAATTCAACGAATCATTTTAAATCATATAGTTGCAATTTTATAGACTATTCAAGCACGAATTCGTACAAAAATTGATAGACAAAAGCGTCGAAGCAACTATCATGCAGAATTTAATAAACCAGAAAGAGTTCAAAGTTTTCTTGAAAACGTGGCTGATAATTCTTCCAATTATGGCTTTTCATCAGTACAACTATTTGAGAAAGTAAGTATAAAAACTGTCTTATTTTCAGTTTCAAGATTCTTTGATTTCCAAAAACTGAGGTCAAATTTTGTTTTTCTTACTTTTTCGTGTATTTTAGTAATTTTATTTCTATTTTACTGATTTGTTCTTTTGATAGTTACTCATAAAAATCATCGAAATAAATGACAACCTCAATATTTGAACATTTTTTTTTAATATTCAATATCATATCGTTTTTTTAATCAATGTTTACTGAACTCAAAACTGCGAGTTAAACTTTAATTCATCTCAATAAAGTTCGATTAGGAATCTTATCCTTTTCTTTTATAGGAAGGAACCTTATTAATCAGCAAAGTGACCAACAATATTTCATTTTCAACTAATCTCGACAGTACTACAAAGTATGCAAAGTATCTCATATCAAAAAATCTATTTAATTTTTTTCACGTCAAATAGTTTACTTTCTTGTCACCATATTTGACGTTACCTGATTTTAAAAATAAAATTTTGTAGAAGTGAAGAAAAAAGTAAAATCACATCTCCAATCGTAAATAACAATACTGAAATGGAGGCACTTGGTTGGTACGCTGGTTTTCAACCACTTTTGCTAACATTGCCAGATAATAAATGGGTCAAAACAATCACTTGGTTTGCCTTACGTGATCATAAAAGAGAAGTAAGAGCAATTTATCTAATTTGTTATATTTGTAATTAACTGTAATCTCTTTCTAAAATGAATTATCACGATTTTTTATTTATCATTTTGTAATCAAAAGCTTATTTTATGCGTTACTTATTTTAATTATTAACTTTAGTTGAAATAACAATTTGTAGATTTGACGCAATTTTTTTATGCAGGATATTGTTGCTTATGTATTGATTCCAAATGGGCCGGCATTTAAAATTCCAGCAGTTGTTCAACTCCGAGGCTTGACATCAAATAGTTTATACAATGTGAGATCGAAAAATATTAAGGTTAATACTAAAATTATTTAGTAGCAATTATTATAAAAAAATATTTTAACTTTCCAATATTTTTAAATTATTTATTTTAGGTTCTTGACACAAAGACTATTGAAGTAAACGAATTTTACTTCAGAAGCAATGGTTTAGAAGCTTGGTTTGTTGTTGGAAAGGATATTTTACCGAATAGTAATGGACACATAGTGCCCCTTTATAATAAGTACTGCATCTGAAAGCTCTAATATTTTTTAAATTTGTTCTTTTTTCTATTTGCTTTGAAGCTGTTTCATGAGCATACTTTGAATGGTTAGTAAATTAGCATTTTCTATCATGTTTAAGACTTTCATTATAATGCAAATTAGATCACTGTCTAGTTTATTGAGATAAATGGATATGAAGTAGCTTGTGGATTGTTATGATAAAATAAACTAAGTAAACTTATACAATTTTCTTTGTTATAGCACACTAATTCTCTAAATAACTAATATAATTAATATTTTAGAGAAGAAAACATATTTGATTGTGATTCACTTCGAGATTACACAAATGAGACGATCATTTTAAAGCTTCCAGGACTTTTGGATATTACAGATGTGTTTTGGTTTTCGGTTTTTTCAATGACGCAAAGTTTATCAATATCGCATCTTTACTTTCCATATAATGACATGCATTTACCTCCTGATCTCACTGATATATCAGTAGGTTTTTTTTTTTTCGAAAAAACCAACAAGTTTGCATATATTCTCAAAGTCCAAGTTTTCAGTTTGCTTGTTTAATTATTCAGATTGCTATGTAGCGCCCATCTATGCTAAGTTATCTTATTTTTGTGCTACAAATATTAAAAAATATTCGAAACGTAAAGGTATAACTCTTTTTTTTTAAAACAAAAACTACTTATGTAGGGTAAAGTAACTTAAATTTGAGCCAGAAAATGAAGATGTGAACAGTTTTGAAGTTAATTCTTGCTCATACGATTTATTTGCTGTAATAAAAATGCAAATCAAAATTGCAGGCACCAAATTGTGTTTGGAAAAACAGTTAGAATAGTGTACCTTGGATAACTTGCTCAACTTTAATTGGTAAAGAAGAAAGTCTTTTTTTTTTCAAACTATTTGATAAAATGAATATGTTAAGCTCAAAATTGTTAGACCAACTGAAGAAGCATTAACAAATTGATTGCTTTTTGCAAAAATCAGATTAGTGAAATAGTTTTTAGATAGTTCAGTAAATAGTTTTTCTACTTTTAATGCTACTTTTATATTAAAAATAAGTTAAAAAATATAAATTTAGAAGAAAAATAACAATAAATGAAAGGCATAAACAAACGCCATAACTTGAAAAACTAACTTTCTCAGTTTAACATCAGCAAATAAAACTGAAATGTTTAAAAATAAACCAGTCAATAAATAGCATTTTAAATTAGATTAATGAAGTGAGGTTGCTTGTTCCGATTGCTTACATGTCGAGAAAATAATCCAAACTCAGATTTTACATATTTTGTATTATATTTTTGCTAGCACGAGAACGTTTATTTTTCGCTCTTTAGCATCATTTATGTTTGTCTTCCAAGTTATGACTGCGTCAAAATTTTAAAATTTCAAGTTAATACTTTTTAGATGCCATATGTGAATATTTCTAAATGTTTGCTATTATTGTGCAATTTTTTAATTTCTTCTTTTCAAAATTAATTCACTTAAAAATATTTTGTTTTAGCGCAAATTCTAATATGCAATGTTGAATACATTCAAAAATGATGCCTATTCATGACAGCTTTAACAATCACTGATTAAAAATTAATCGAGTTTTTATTACAACTGTTTTCTATTTCTAAATTTTGCTGCTAATATGAAAATATTTTATTTTTACTTTGTTTATATTTGTCGCTTAAAACAATAAAATTGTGAATAATTCAATGAATAGATGATATCATTTAGTGATTTCTTATTTTTATGAATGGTAAAATTATTAATTATTGAAATTCAAAGTAGTTTAAGATACAAAAAATTTTGTACTGATAAGTAAATATTAAATTTTTGATTCATAAACTGTTATATGACGAAAATTATTCAAACAACATTTAATGCTTTTATGCTAATTTCATGCTTTCTGTTTCTATCAAGTTATAACTGCGGAATTTTAATACCAAACTGTAAATGCAACAAAATTTTTAATAAATTAATGATTAATTTTTATTTGTTTGCTTAAAAGGTGATACAAATAAAGAGGAAATTAAAACAGAAAGTTGTTGTCACTATTTATTTGTTTTGTCACATTGTTGAAAATACTTTTGATTATAAACTACCTGAGAATAAAATCGCTGCATCAGAATATGATCTGTATGAAAAGTGATATGCATTTTGCTAATAATTAATCATTTATCAGATGAAATTATTGTAATTTTATTCAAAACACAATAATTCAATAGTATAGAGTAATAAATACAAAAAAAAATAGCTCACTTTTCTATAAATTATGCTTATTTATTTTATTTCCATAATTTTGAAGAAATGAATTGCATACATGGTAATATGAAATTGACGCATTTTAGAGCAGTTTTTATTCTTTTAAACTACTAGTATATTTAATTATTAATTATGGTAATAAATTGGAAATCAAAAGTTGCTGCAATTTTTTGTTGCATAAATTGTTTGCAAACAGATTTTAAACAGAGCTGGTAGTCAGTCACATTAGTTTTATTTGGTGAGAAGAAGTATTATTAATCAAATGATATTTAAAAGAATTCTTCACGAAATGTGTAGGCTTCAAGTTGAAGTACGTATAGCAACAATGAGTAACTTTTAATGAATTCATGAAGAAAGAGAGCTTTCATGCAAGAAGAATAAAACATTGAGATTTATCGTAGCTGATTGTCCATTTTCTTCAATCTCAAAAGACGATTGCAATACATTTTCGAAATATTGTGAACAATTTTTATTACTTATTAATATTGGCAATAGTATGTTGCAAATAAGATTTATTCATTATTGATGAGTTGTAATCATTTTTCATAATAATTTTTAATGTGCTATTTGATTTGAATTTTTTAAAATTTCTTCATAACTACTGCTTTATTGTATTGTTATAGCTTCAGTTATTTAATACTAAAAAATAATAAAATCTCTTACTGACTAAAATAGTAGTTCTATTCCAATTTCATATACCATTTTCCAGAGATAAATTGTTCATCAAATATATACGTGCTCTTACACTATGCTGTGCTTTGTAAAATGAAGTGCTAAATATAAAATTTACAATAAATAAACTAATATTTAGTAAAAACTGTTTACGAAAAATTACATAATTTGAAAGAAAAAAAAGTACCCTCTGACCAAGAATCTGAAGAAAATTTTTGAACAGAGCGCTTCTTAGTAGCTACAGATAGATGAATAGAATTAATAGAGAGATTCAAATTACAAAAATCGTCTTTAAAATGTTAAATCCAATTATTGCAAAATGAATGCGAAGTTTTAGAATACTTCTTAAATGCAAAAAGTTTGGGAAAAAATTTTGTGAGAGAACATATAAGAATTTTACGTATATAAAAAAAGAATAATGAATTTTATAACTAAAATTACAAAATTAAAATTAAAAAGCAAAAAAAAAAAAGAAACTTATATATATATTAATTACCTTTGTCTTACTTTCTGTTTTTTCAACAATTACTTTTATGAATACCAACTCAAAGCATATTAGAAAAGTTGAATTTTTTTATCTCTTTCGCTCAGATATTACCACATCTTCAGTCCCATATTCATTTTCTATTTTCTATTTTGTTCATGACTTATAAATACTTTTAGCCCTCATTACTACAAAAAATTATTCTGCGATTCTGTGATTATTTCTGCGCATTATTCTGCGTAAAACTGAATTATTTAATCAATTGTGGCAAATGCTTTTAGAACTTCTTGCTTTTAACCTTCTGCATAATTTTAGTTTATTAGTGTTAAAATGCTAATTAGTCTTAACAATGCTTAAGATTATGGTATTGTTTAGTAAAATCATTCTTTTCAATACGTACTTTGAATAGTTCAGTTTATTATTCTAATCTATAAATATTATGCAAAAAAAAAAATGCAAATTATTAATTAAATTATTACTTCAATAATCATTCTTCATTATTTTTGCAATATTTTTATAATGTCTTATTAAATAATTTGAATGCAAGAAAAAATATGCATTCTTATTTTCTTCATCAAAATATTGCAATTGTTTGGCATTTTAGTACATTCTTCTTCTTCAAAATCCTTCACTCTGTTTACATGTTACATAATTGTTTGGAAAATTTTTTTTTTTCCGATTTGCATAATTATCGGATTTTAGATGACAATCGGAATTTTTTTTGGCGATTACTTGCAAAATGAAGTATTCATTAGAATAAATGGCTGAACATTTGTTATGCATAACAAGAATTTATAGTAAGCAAGTTATCTTCTCACAATTGCTTTTACTGTGCATTAAATGATAAATCTGTGAGTTAGTCTTTTTGTACAAAATCTTGTGATATATTTTGCTAAAAAAATTGATACAAATACAAATTGATATCTAATCAATATTAATGATTCATTCATTCAATTATTTAAAAGTATACTATGAAATAATATGCTCTACTTTTATTCAAAATGATAATATAAAATAATAGAACCTATTTTAAAATAGGTCAACATAAGTAGTTTAAAGATGAGAGAGCAGAAAATATTTTTAGTTCATATTGTTAAAGAACATTCCTGTACATGATGAAAATTCATTGCACATATAATTGAAATTCTTTAAAATTTGTTATTTTTTATTTAATAATTTTTAAAAATTGTTTATATCAAAGTGTGTACGCTACCAAAAACAAAGTTAATTTTTTTCTGTAAAAAAAATAAAAATGTGAATTAGACAAATAATCAGAGTGTATTGCAAGAGATAAGCAAATGAAGTAAATAGTTATTGGAGTAGTTTAAATGCTACTAATTTCTTTTCTCATGATAAGAATAACAAGTAGATTTATGTTGATATGACAAAATTAGCTAGTAACTGATGATCATATCCGTGTTCGGATTATTATACATTTTGTAATGAATATTGAGCAAAAATTAAAAGTATTTTGAATAAAAAATGTATTCTATTCTTTCTTCTTCTCACACAAATTATTTTATTATCAAAAACACTTACTTTTAGATATCTTAAAACTATTGTAGTAGTATAGTTTTAATATATACTACATATGGGTTGTAAAAAAAAAGGAAATATGCAAAGAGCAAAAGCATGAAGCGATAGTTGACCAATCATTTTTCAAAAATTTTACTTAAATTTTGAAAATATTTCGTATTTATTGAGTTTGCAATTAAATGAGGCTGTTTTTACTAATCAATTACAATAATAGCAAAATTGTCAACTTCAAACTTTGAATAATTGTCAAAATCATTACAAATTATTAATATTTTCCTTGAAAATAAGACGAACCTTATTGAAATGTTCATAAATTTAATCGAAGTAATGGGTTTTCACGTCAGTCCGAATTTTAAAATGACATGTCAAACATCTTTATCATTTCTACAAATGTCTTATCATTTTGTATTATCATTTGCTTTACTGTTATTAAAATGGGATATTCACTTTTACTTATTCCTTCAATTATGGTAAAAGTATTAACTTTTATTTTTCTATCATTTGAGTATTTCATGCAAATATTTAGTTTTGTTTGCATATTATCAGTATGTGGATATTTTGTTCATATACTTCTACTTTTCCAAGCATATTAATATCAATATATAATGTACTAATTGTGAAAAATAGTATTACTTTCACTGT